CACCCTTGCCACCTGGCAGAAAGACTTTTCGGCACCCCAGCGAAGCTCGGGACAGTGACTTTTGTGCTCCGCCTTTGATTGGGGAACCCATAAAACATCCATCTTGACTGGGAACCGAAAACGACCACTGTGCAAAGAAATGTCCTGAAGGTTCCCTGTTAAGATCCTAGGCCAGTTTGACATACTTCCTGCCGGAGGACCTCCACGATACCGCGCAACATGCCCTCGCCTCGTCCCAACCCGAAGCAGGCTACGCGACGACGTCCCTTTCTCAACGGCCCTCCTCACCATCTTGAAGGGGATTTGCTTGGTATCACAGCAAGTGGCCCTGAAACCGGACGACCCTCTTCAAGCCCGTAGGCCAAGGATTCTTCCAAAGGCCCTTTTCACTTTCGGCCATGCGAGTCAGCGCTGCACGCTCCTACCACTTAGATAAGCGCATGGAGCTACGGACTTCCCATCAGTCCTGGGGTCAATGATCATTCGACCTGAAACAAGGGACCTTGGGAAAGAACCCTTCGGGCCTGAGGTCGAAAACCAAAGACCTCCGTGACTTGCTGCCACTGAGTGTGCATGCGGTCGATTTCCCATGAACCAAACATGTCCGGCCACCAGCCCCAATCTGCGAACTGCAGCGCCTCCAACTTGATCCCCTTCTTGAAATCCAAGGTATCTTACACTATCATCCTTCCCTTCAATCTATCCAGAGGCCCTCGGTCCCGTGAGTCATTTGGTATTTCATTGGCATCCCTGCCAGGAATTGTATCCCAGTCCATAGGTCAACAGCGCGATTCCACTCTCGTGTTCGTCCACGCCAAATGCACCCAACCTGGGTCTCATGTGCTTCGCACAGCCTGGAAATCGCCCTGAAGCTTCTAGACGTTCTCAACATCGAGGGCCCAAAACGTTCCAACCCAGGAACCTCTCAGGGGGCACAGCGTTCTCCACAGTTGACCGCCAAAAACGAGGGCTCCAGACTTGTCTGAAAAGGAAACTGAACCACCGCAAAAAAAAAGAAAAACGTGTTGCGTTTTTGCTGGTTTCACGAAAATTGTGCGTTGGACACCCCTGGTTTCAACCGGAAAATGCGCGGACCCCAGAAAAAAAGGACCTGCAGTCCCCAGACGCCCATTTCGGGGAGACCGCCACCTACCCCGCTCGCGCGAGCCCCACCGCGCCCGACCGCGCTCGCCTGGCACATCCGGCACTGAGAGGTTGATGGCCATCGCCTTGGCTATAAGACACGGAAGCCGCACACCGGCGGCGCGGGTTGTGAGGGGAAGCCGCCCAAAATGGGTTGTCCTTTTGGTGTCCCTTCCACACCAGCCGAAAAGGCCAAGCCTCGAAAAATGACAAGACCCAAACACTTTTTACAGTTTCTGCTAGGTGGGATGATGTTTGCGGGGGAAATTTAGAGAAACCCTGCAAGTGGATATATATATATATGTACATGTATGTACATGTATATGTGTACATATGTATCATACCTGTGTGTGTATACCATGTGTACATACTCAAATCCTCCAAATGCTTCATTTCCCACTAACCTTCCCAGAGGTCATGGAGAAGAAAGCAAACTTTTCTTTTCTTAAGGCGCCTCCAGCGACCGACAACATGGCCCGAGCTGACTCGCCTGGAACTTGTTCGCCAAATGTCCCACTATCTAGATCACATGTTTATCTATATATGTGCATCTATCTGTGTACTTATCTATATTTGTATCTATCTATATATATATCTATTCCTTTATCTATGTCTATTCCTTTGTCTACGTCTGTATCTTTATCTACACCTGCACCTAAGTATGTATCTAAAAATGTGTATTTATCTTTATCTATATTTGTATCTATATATATATATCTATTCCTTTATCTATGTCTATTCCTTTGTCTACGTCTGTATCTTTATCTACACCTGCACCTAAGTATGTATCTAAAAATGTGTCTTTATCTTTATCTATATCTGCATCTATATCTGTATCGTTCTCTGTATATCCATGTCTCTATCGTTCTCTACGCATGACTTGGTGGGTTGAAAGGTTGCTTCCAAGACCGCCAAAAAAAATGACCCCCGCGAAGCAAACAAGCAACGCAGACCCTGGATGTTGGTTCACTTTTACCAACCCCGGCTCACTTTGAGAGAGGACCAAGGCGGAGAGGTTTCCCCCGAAATCCCGCCAACTTCTCCAATTGGATCATTGCCAGGGCACTAGGTAGTGCATCTGCCATTGCGCCTACGCAAACGGGGATGGGCGGCAGGGTTGTGAACCTCCATTGGGAGTCACCTGGAAAATGTGTCTCTTTCGGGAATTCTTTCTGTTCGTGTTCAAGGCATGATTCCCTTTTTCCACCCCTTAGCGCGTGACAGCTTCTTGTGTTCCCCTTCTTTCTGGTTCATGTTTGGACATCTCCCATTCGCTCCTGTATCGCCATGGCAAAGTGCTCGTCACTTGTTCATTTCGTGCCCCAACACCCAGCCAGTTTGTCACACTTAGTTTACACCTCTTGTCTTCCCACGCAAGGCAATAAGCAATGAAAATGAAGTTCTGGGGCACTTGAATGCAAATGCAAGTCATGATTCATGATCAAAAATGAAGATATGGTGTGTATTATAACATGCCGCCTTAAAGCAATTACAACTACAGAATAAAACACACGTATATGATCAACAAGGATAATGTGGGTGTGTCGTTTTTTTACGGTACTCCCCCCAAGAAACAAAACGGCTTTGGCTGTTCCCTTGGTTTCCCTTTAAAATCACCCAACAAGGTGCTCCCCAAAAAAAGACACACACACACACGCATGTCTGCGTGTTTGTGAGTGTAACTCCTTCGCACCTTACAGTAACCAACGTTCCGGAGCGCCTGCGCCTTGGCCTGCTCCTGAGGGTCCACGGCCGGCAAAACCTGCGCCTGTCGCGTGCGGCCAGCGCTAACCAAGTGGCTGAGCTGTTCCATGCGTGTTCCCCGCGCGTGAGTCGCGCTGGATTAAGGAGAGCCAAAGCCATCTAGTTTCAACCAAACAGACCTAAGGCCCCAGATTCAATCCGACTTCTCGCCCAACTGCCCGAGCGAACTCACCAGCGAAAGCTCGCAAAAACCCTGGCCATCACTGCTGAACCCAAGCTCATCGCCAAGGGATGAATCCAAAGACGCAAGCCAAACCCAGGAAGGTTCTTACTGTGGATGGACGAAATCCGTTTCGCACCACCTAAGACACCCTGGAATGATTCGATTAAATACCAACAAACGTTATGCTTTGCAGTGGTTTCCAAGTGGTGCGAAATGGATTTCGTCCATCCACAGTAGTACCTTAACCTCGGCTCTCCAACCAGGAGCCGCCTGCGGAGTAGGCACCGGAGGGGGCGTAGGCACCGCTGGGCCTGGCTTCGGGCTTTGAGGTGGTCCAGGTGCAATATTTGGCCGCCGCGGTTGTCATTTGACCGTGTTGGGATCCCATTTGGCCATGGGTCAAAAGCCAAATCGTACCCCCAGTGAACATCCCAATCCCCACTAAAATAGACCAAAATGGGTGGTGCACCTACCCCAAAATGGTACCATTGGTTTTGACCCACAGCCATCTTGGTTGGTAGGTGAATTCACCACCCATTTTAGAACCTATTTTTGTGGTTGGATTGGGATGTAACCACTGGGGGTACGATTTGGATTTTGACCCATGGCCATTTCAGAGCAACAGCAAGGTGTGCAAGAGGAGCACGGGGGACGGCGTTCCCTGAAACCAAGCCGAACCAACGACCCTGCATTCTCCTTTTGGGACATGGTTAGTTTCGAGCCATCCTAGAGTCTGAAACAGGCCATTCAAACTCATATGGCTTGCCGTACAACAGTTGACCCTTGGATCTGATTGGGCTACGAGGCGCAATCAGCCCATTTGGGATCGGGCACGGTCTTTCACAAACGTAGGACACTGGGCAAACCAATCCTTCTGGGTTGGCTCTCCAACTGAACACCATTCAGCAACAGCTGCGTCGAACTGGTGCAAGGCTCAACTTGCCAAAGGCATCTCAGAAACAGGTCCAGAGAAGATTGCATGGCCCGTTTGCGGGGGCGGGCCTTTTGTGTTTCTTGTGTCCAAGGGAACCGCATAAAGACCAAATAGAAGCTGGGGGCACGTGCAGGATTCGCCCCCACCAGCCCCTGCGGCTGTAGCTGTCCTTCAGTGCCCAAGCTGATACTTTCGCGAGCGGTTACCATCCCACCGACTAACATGGGTTTGTACACAGACCCCTGTAGAAAGACGACTTTCCTCTTGGAAAGGGGCTTTGTGCACTTCCATGTTAGTTGGTGGGAGGGTAATGAACGCCGTGTCTTGCCGGCTAGACCAAATCGAAGGAAGCCTCTAACTCAAATAAACCCCCCCGGCCGAGGCAGGCTAGGCGCCTGGAGCGCTTCAAATTGGGGGCGCATACCATTGGCCAGAGGTCAACAAAAAGCCTTTCATGTGGCCGAAAGGCAAACACCTGGAGAACCCGTGTGGGCTTCCCGGCAGAAGTGGGTTTCGTAAGTTGGGAGAAAATGAAGCACTTGACAAGCCACCTGACGACAAAAACCGCACCTCGCGGCCTTTCTGCTTCTTTCTCCTGCGGGAATGGGCAAGTGGCCCAGCAGGCCAATGACTCAGGAAATCAATTGGAGGTCAAAATCGATTGGCTGGTTGGGAAAAGGTGGTCCGGGATCCTTTGCAATTGGAGCCCCCTCCCGCTCAAAAATATACCCCAGTTGCGAAGGGACCTCGCCCGAGCCCGGGATCCAACCGCAGAAAAGGGTCATACCTCACGTCGCCGGGTGCTTTTTTTCAGCAACCTCCGAGCTCCGGCTTCGTCCAGAGAGGCTAGCATAAGGGTGCCAACTTGTTTCTGTCCATTTTAGTAGGGGAACCCTCCCCCAAAAAAGGGTGAGAAAGGGCACTACTGGGGGACCTAGGTGGTCTTCCGGTGCAACCGTCAGCCGCAAGGAGATGGCCTCCTGGCCAATATGCCTACAGACCCCTCTTGCCTGAAACCAGCGCCTGGGTGGTTTCAAAAAATGGGGAGGAATCGCCATCCGCGATGTTCGGCCGAAGGCGAAAAAAACTTCGCATGGATCATTGATTGAATGCCAACCAAAGCGGCACAGGCAATTAGATGATTGAGTTCATGGGTAATTTCTCTCGGTTCCTCCAAAAAACAAACATTCCCGAGAACCCATCCCCCCCGCGCATTCAGAAGCCCATGCGGAGCGGGAAGGAAAACGCGGCTGGCGCAACGCGTGTTGCGCCTCAGGCTTGGGGATGGCCTCCTGGACTTCGACCTCCACGCCCTTGATGCTGTGGCCTCGGCACGGCCGCGGCGAAGCGGCTGCGAAGGGGGGCGAACCGGCGGCGGCTTGGGGCGGTTCGGGATGGCCGAAAGGAAGGCGGAGGCCGGTCACACACGTCGGCACGCAAATGCAAGGAGCTTCAGCTCAGCTCTTATCTGCCGAGTTTGAGAAGGCCATACCATTGCGAAACATGGGCCGTTGAAGGAGCCTGCTGGAAGAGCCGCAAGTTGCCGTTGCGACCAGCTTGCCCTTGCGGATTCCCTGAGAAATCTCAAAGCCTTCCCACCTGCGCTCAGAAAATCCACCCAGCCCAGTAAAAATCTTAGGCAAACCGCAAGGCCCATCCCTCCACCCACCAGGGAGATGGGCCGGTTCATAGCACTCTCTTCTTTCTGGCTTCTGGGATCCCAGATGCTACCCGTAAAGTGGCACATCCAGAAGCACAAAACGGGCATTGCGGAAGCCACCCGCTTCTGGTTGGAGAACTCAGCCAGGAGTCTTGGAAGCGTGTGTTGGGACCTCTCCTGGTTAGAGAACCCTTTTTTGGGGAACCCCTTCTTTGAAGAAACACTAAACCACCCAGCAAAGAGGGCTCACGAACTTTCGCAGTCCTTCAATGGCAACAGCTGCTTCTTTTTGAAGCACATTTAGCAGGAACTTGCCACCGGATTTTGCACTGGCAAGCCAATCATACCAAGCCAATCTTCTGATCATGTGAACGTTGATCCACCTTGGTTTTAGCCCAGACCTCATTTGTTGCTTTCGGCGCTGGTCTTTCCCAGTTCCCTTTTCACCCTGGGCGCCCTGCTTTCAGCACCTGCCAAGAGTGGACAGCGATCAACGTGGCAAACTTTTACAAAGGGGTGATCTCCCCAAGAGAAACTGAGCAATTGACCTTTTGAATCAAGTTGTTATGAATCAACCAAGGTACTGATGGGTCAGCACTGGGGCACATGATCTAGATGACCCCTTTGAATCAACCAGGGCAATGTTGGGTTCGCACTTAACGCAAATGATCTAGATGTCCGACAATTCACCAGCCGAAATCCCTCTGAAAGGATCCTCTGCAAACTTGAGTTGTGCATAGTTGAGTGCTTCAAGTGCTTGTTGGGAACCAGCCCCCAAAAATTGTAGACTTAGTAAGCCCATGGAAGCACACTCAGGCCTCACTTGCCCGCAACAGGAGTTAACCTCCTGCAAGAGGCGGACTTGGATAACTGTTGGAAGGCGCGCTTTCCAGCCCTCGCACTGACGGTCTTCCGTGTATCTCACATGTCACCTGTCCTGGGTGCGATGCGACCTCTCTCGAGCAATCCCAGGCACACGCACTAGATCTGCTGATTCTGGTAAGGAATGTGACTGACCGCAACAACTGCAATGGTTGGCTTAGGTTTAGCAACCACATTCCCAAAATTCGGATTTCTCCCCCCGCGGGAATTGGGAGTTGTCCCGTGTCCTCCCCAAATACAGCAGACCGCCAACAATATGGTCAGCTACTCCTGTGGCTTCTTGTAGGGAAAAGTCCAATCCTAAGAAAACGTGCGATCAACGAGCAAATCCGCTTTTCCCGCCTGCTACTTTCGCAATGAGGTCGTCCATGCTGGGTGCTGGACCATCCTGAAGGGCCAAATGTGGCGCTGAGTCCAAACCAAGGGAATGTCAAGCTTGCAGCTGCAGTTCAAGGGGTGGTCAGCTTGTAATAGATCATGTCAAGAACTTGACATGGTTGTGGTTCCTGATTGACTAGGAATCTATGTGCTCATGTCTACGCCACTCAATTCAAGGATCCATGACCACCCTTCCTGGCCTGAAGTTGGAGACCGCGATTGACTGAATCCCTTCCAGCGGAATATGTTGTGCTATGCAATGGCTTTCGCGACTATTTTCCGGCTTCTACGTTCACCACAAAGAGCCCGGCTTGGGTGCTGTTTCTTGGATGATGAAATCCTTCCTCTTCAGCCCAGGACCCTGCGAGTTCCCCCTTTTCGCTTGTGCGACTCGTTGCCATACCCATCTCATTCGCAACTGAATTGTTCACCATAAGGGTCTGTCTGTTCTTAAGCCACCACTTTTGAGCTAGACCAATGTTGAAGTCCACCATACAAAAAAACTGACACACCCCATAACCCTGGGACGTGTCATTGGAACTCCAGCACATGTGAACACTCTGACCAATCGCGGGTGGATGCCTCCAAACGCACACAACCTGATAATGTTGACCCAGGATTAATAACCCCGGCCCAGTATTACGGGGGTGTTCCCTCCAAAAGTGATGCATCCCCAAAAGGGGACACCACCCTATTAATCAACCAGGCGTTTATTAATCCGGGGTTAACATTACCAGCAAAAAAAACTCATGTGCGCTGCAGTACAGCCCTTTCTCCATTTTTGGGAGATGGCAAGGAATGTTTGGCCGTCTCCCCAGGGCCGATTACTAGCAATCCGGAAATAACGAACCCCTACTCATGGGCAAGTTCTCGGTTTGCCGCAGAGCTCGCTGTAGCTTCCCAGACCCCTAGTGGCCATGGAAATGAAGGGGCACCCTCGTGTTGCTGTTGTTTGGTTTCGTTTCACAGCAGATTAGGGCACCTGTTCCTTGGTGTTGGATTTCAAAGGAGGAAACTTCACCAAAAAAAGAAGCAGGGTCAATGACCACTGCAAATACCCCTTGATGGCTTGTGGGGCTTCATGCCATCCATGGATGATATCTGGGGATGAGCCTCGAGCCCGGGAGCCCGGGAGCCCGGGAGCCCGGGAGACCGGGGGGGAGCCCCCGCCTTAGACCCCGCCTCGGCCTCCCGCGGCGCGAGGCTCACGAAGGCCATGCCCCGGGGGCGCTGGGTCTTCTTGTCCCGCACCAGGCTGGCCTCGGGGAGCGAGGCAAAGCCCCGGAGAGAGCTGGGAAAGACTTGCGCAAGAACTAACACGGACACGTACACGGAGAGAGAGAGAGAGAGAGAGAGCAAGAGAGAGAGAGAGAGATTTTGAGAGAGAAAGAGAGAGATGAAAGGAGAGAGAGCGAGAGAAAGAACAAAGAAATAGAGAGGGAGAGAGAGAGAGAGAGGAAAATAAATAGAGAGGGAGAGAGAGAGAGAGAGAGAGCGAGACAGAAAGAGAGGGAAAGAGAGGGAGAGAGAGAGGAAAAATAAATAGAGAGGGAGAGAGAGAGCGAGAGAGAAAGAGAGAGATAAAAGAGAGCGAAAAAAAAGAGAGAGAGAGAGAGAGAGAGAGCGAGGACCAAGAAAAGAAAGAGAGAGCGAGAGAGAAAGAGGCAGAGAGAGAGAGAGAGAGGAAAGAGAGAGATAAAAGAGAGCGAGATAAAAAGAGATAGAGAGAGACAAACAGAGAGAGGGGAGAAGGAGGAGAAGGAAAGGGTCAGAGACAGACACACATACACACACACACACCCTTGCAAAAGGGCTCCAACAAGATCTAGTTGAAAGGGTTCAACCGGCCTGTGGGGCAGATGGCAATCGGCGACTGCCTTCGCTTAAAGTGAGGCAACACAAATCACCACGGCTCGATCCGAACTCCGAACTGGGCCGCACACCTCCACCACATGGCCGAACTTCTCAAAGTAGTCCTGAAGGCCATCGATACGGATGTTAAAGCTATTGAGCAGGTCAGATTTCTCTCCCAGGGGGGAAAATACTCCTACAGGCCTTTGCACTTGCTTTTTGTTCGAAATAATCGGAATAGAGGGTTCGACGAAGATGACATTGCTCAAGAGCGGATGTCGCCAGCACCGCTTGAATGTGTAGTTCTGAGTACCCTCCCACCAACTAACATGGAAGTGCAAAAAGGCCCTTTCCAAGAGTCTTTCTACAGGGGTCTGTGCACTTCCATGTTAGCTGGTGGGAGGGTATACTCATCCCAGAATTCAAAGATCCGACAAACATAGAGAGGCATCCCTTGAAGAGCCCCTCCAACCACGCGCTCCTCCAGTGTGGAGAGTCCCTCACGAAAGCCCCTCTCATTTTTGTTGTCTGTGTGGCTTTCAGACTTCAGGGCCCAAGGCCGTTGGAAAATAAACCCGATGGCACCTCTGAGTCTCCTGGATGAAACCCTCGAAATACTGGATCACCCAACTTGTCCATCCACAAAGAGTTGACCAGCTCGGTTGCCCCTTAAAAGCCCAGAAATTAAAACAGCTTTGCCTTTTGGGGCCATGGAAACCTCAAACCGGACCAAGAATTGGACACCAAAAGGTCGAATCCACTCGATTCGCTTTGGGCCACTCGAGCCACCTGCTGGGTTTCCACCGCCGGGAACGCCCCCCCGAACCATCAAGGCGCCTTGAGGTGGTGCTCCCCAAGGTTGCCCAGGCCCCGCACGAAGAACCGCGCGGCCGACCTCGCAGCCGCTTTGGGCCTCCCCGGAGTTCCAAGCCATACTGCGCCGCTGTGGTGCTTCGGGGGAGGGGTTCCCCGGATGTTCCAAGCCATACTGCCATACAGCGGGTGGAAAAATCCTGGATGGATGAAGCCATACAAAAAAAAAGGATAAGCCACGGCTTGGGGGAAAATCGATAAATAGATGGCCCTGGAGACAACCAGCTCCACCAGGAATCGTCGACCAGAACAACTAAAAAATGGACACCTATGTCTCAATGTCCGGCCAAGAAAAATATGGGTGTGTCAGAATAGGACGGGGTTGGGGGGGGGGGGGGGCAAAACGGTTGGTTGCTTCTTGCTGTCGCTTTCAACCAATCCCACCGGCCCATATCCGGAACCCATTTGTTTAAGACAATCGTTCCACTGGCACCAGGCTGCCTCCCCTTTGGATAAGAGGGTTGCTCGCACCAGAGAGAAGCAAGAGCCACTAAGCACAAAAGCGGTGGGCTCATGGAAGACAAGACAAAGAAGCTACGAACATCAACTTCCTACCCTGATCAAAGTCGAAGGAAAAGAAGATATCCTTTGTCAAAGAGCTATGCAAATGAACCAGGGGCCTTGCAAGAGGATGGTCACCTTCCAAAACCCTCCTCTCCATTCCATGATTGCACTAAAGATGATAATTCTACAAGCAAGAACCCCAAAAGTTATTGGTCATTCAGAAACCGATTCAAGGTGTCTTAGTGATTTGGGGGGGCAGCGCGGCATTACAGCGACTTGGAAAGGAATATCGTAGATGAATTGCTGGCATCTTGTTGCGCTTGAAACAAATCCACCAAGTACGACGTCCTTCAGAGTTGGCGCAGTGCTGTCCGGCAGTTGATGCTTAGCATGCCAGTCAAACCAGTTGGCTGTCCTCAATCCCCTAAAAGCTTCACTTGGGGGCTAAAGGAGCCCAACCACTAAACCAACCGAAAAGGCTAGAAGACCGCCTAAAGAACCTGGCTGGTTCATTTGCCTTTGTGGATAGCGGCTCTTTTTTTCGGTCAGGGAACTTCATTTTTTGGGGGGTGTTCCAAAAGGAAACCCAGGGCTTTTCCTGAAATTGATCCCTTTGACATACCCTGACAAAGAAAAAATATATGTCACAGCTTTGATTTTTTTTGGGCACCCCCCGAAAATCATGGGTTTCCCTATGGCTTCCCGTTGGAGACCACCCCCAAAGACCAACCGTGGCGAGCATCCCCCGCGCTGGTCGACTGGGCACGCCGCCCACTTGCTCCCTGCCGGCTTTCAACCAAAAAAGACGAGGAGAGCTCCCACAGGCCCACAGTCTGCGGCTTCCACGGCAACCCACAGGGGAGAATGAAAGAAAATAGTCAAATTTCAGCAAATGGCAGAAGGTTGTGTAACATCCGCGAGACGGGAATGATCAAACCCGAATCCTGCTTTGGAGAACTCAGGGCCCTTCTGACACCCCAAGGGCCATGAGGTTAAGCCATTTTTCAGGATCCTTAGAAGTTCCCTGGCACGAAACAGGAAGTGTCAGTTGACTGGTCACGCAAAGCGGGGGGAACGTATGCGCAGAAGGAAACACACAATTGCCAATAGAAGTGCTCAACTCAGGGAATTCTGCTTCCAGGACAGGTGATTTGGGTTTGCACGAGCTCGACTAGGTCTTGCTTGCTGCTTTCTCCTGGTTGCATGATCCACTGAGAATGAACGAAGGGAGAGAGTCTGATGGGGATGCTCTCAACATGGTGGAGCCCAAACGCCCAGGTTCATTGACAAACGAATGGGGTCGTCTCAAAATAGGGGGACCCCAAAAATGGGTCGTTTTCCTTTGGTTTCCCCTTAACGCAACCCCAAAAAAGAAGTACCCTCCAAAACAGACAGACCCAAATGATAGTGTTGACCCGGATGAATAAAGCACCCAATCCATGCGACCCGTCTGAGAAATAACCACCCTTCAGGCTGACTGACTTGTTGCATTCTTTCTTTCCGCACCTCGTGAGTCTACAATGCTTATATCTGTGTGTTTTGCAACCATACGTCCTCGGTTGCTTTCTGCTCCCCTGCTGAAAGTTTAACTTTTAGTGGTTTAATGGAAAACCCATTAGTTGGCAAAAGTTAAAGTCCTAACATCCAAGCAACACGCAACGAAGCGTCTCTGTCTGTGTGTCCCCCCAATTGGTGCTTGGGATTGGTGGTTTGGTGCATCCGTTGACCCTCAGGAAGCACCAACCTGACAGCTTACCTGAAAGAACCAGGAACCAAAAACAAAACCTGTCACTTCCTGAGTGGATGGTCCAAAAAAAGCCCATGCTGTTTACCACTAAACTGGTCCTTCCAAACCAACCAACCATTCTTGACGCTTGGGGTTTCAAAGCGACAAAAATGGGCGCCAACCCCCAGAGCCTCAGGCACCTCCTTCGGCTCAGACACCGAGATGGTCACCTCCGCCTGGGAAAATGGCTCCCCCCCCCCCCAGCTGCGGTTTGCCTCGCTGGATCGGTCCCAAGGAAAGGCGATGCTGGAGACCTGGGAGTTTCAGGGCGAGGAGAAACATTCGAGGGCCGGCAACTGTAGACCCTCAGAACTCAGAACGGTGAGAAATATTGGAGGACCCACCATGATCATGTTGTTGTAGCTGCTCTTTTTGGGCCAGATTTTGCCCAACGAAAATACTAGGGGCCAGCCTGTCGTGGCAGAAAGTTGTAGGTGTTGCCAAGGACACAAATGCAAGAGGTCGGATTCACTCTTGAATTCACACCGGTCTGCATGAAATGCTCATTCGAGCATTTCATCGAAAAGGCGATCGTGCCAAGCAATCCGACATTACCCAAGCGTTTCTGAGTGTGCAAAACAGCTGCAACCAAACCGTTGGGAGCTTTACTTGGTTGTCTTGGTTGTTCAAGGCCTACGGTATGTTCTCGCGGACTTGCGCAAATTTGAAGAAGCCAGCCAAAATAAGGAACCAGCAAAGCCAGAAACAGAGAGCTCCAGATGTTCGAAAGCGCCGCCGCGTAGCTGCGATATGTCGGGTGATTTGCTTGGCTGTACAAAGCATACGGTTCGCCTGGTCTCGGAGGACAAAAGCCAGAAATGAAAACTGAAGGAAAACCGAAGCCCATTTTGGCTGGAGTCACCCATTTGGGAAGGACAAGCCCACAAAGTCCGCCAAAACTCTCACATATTGGAATCGGCCCCCGAAATCAATCAGGCGAAGCCTAAACTCAGGTGTTCAGTGACCCTGGAGAAAGAAAAAAAGGGAACCCTTCTTGTGGAAGACCATTTTTAGTGGGGCAGCCACCAAAACAAAGGAAAAAGGGTGCCACTGAACAACTGAGTAAAGGGATAGCAAACTCTTTTGGGGGTGACTGGAAGCCGTTCCTTGACAGGACACAGATGGATGTGTCTAAAAATAGGAATCGGTACCCCAAAAAAGGTGGGTTTTCCTTTTGCTTTCCCATTTAAAACCACATGGGTGTGTCTTAAATTAGGGAACCCCCGAACCCCATTAAAACAACCAAGAAAGAAGAAAAAAAACGGGCACCAAGCCTCACAAAAAGAAAGAAAAAACGAGCCAGCCAAAAAAGAGAAGAAGCTCCCTTCGACCAACAACAATGAAAAGCAACGAAAAACGAAGCAACAACAAAAAATGAGTACCAAGCCACAACAAAAAAAAAAACGCCCCAAAAAAACAAAGCGAAGCTCCCCCTTCGACCCATGGACCGCTTCGCCCCGCCTGCTTCTCAGCCTGCGCTTGTGCCACTTTGGCCAAGGCGCCGGCAGTCGCCGCCTCGGCTTGTGCCGACTCGGCTTCCGTGTCGAGTCGGCATTCGAGCTGGAGGTCCCCGAATCACCAAGCCGATCGATTTCCTCCAGTTGCCGAAGCCCCATGGAAAAATACAAATATATGTATGTATGTATGTGTGTATATATATTTATGTATATATATTTAAAAGAAACAAACAAGTAGTGGTGGTTTCCCTTTAAAGACCAACAGGGGGGAAAAATAAACAGATATGCCGGCGGCTTCCCTTGAAGCCGTCGAATTCATTTTTGGAGGTTCCCTTTAAAGGGAGATGGCTCGGAAACCCTGACGCTGGCATTTTCGGCCAAGCTTTGGCCTCGGCATGCCTGTTGGGTGGCTTTTTGTTGGGAAACCAAAGGGACCCGCACCATTTTGGGGGCTCCCCGATTTTAAGACGGGGGCCATGCGGGGAATCTCAAAAACGGACTTCGGGTGGTATGTTTACAAAACGCATGCCTGAGAATGAGAGGTCACTGCTTGAAACCACGCAGTATACAATGGAGAAAGGACATCGGGGACAACTGGTGTGTACAATACATCAACTCACTCCACCCTAATGTTTGTTCTGCATCTGTTGTGCTTCGCATCTTGGTTCGGCACCCTGGACCCAATGTATCATCTCACTCCGGCCAAATCAATGGTCCAGCAGCTATTGTATGTATCTTGGATACATGTAGCCTAACGTTGACATGAGGGTTGATCAAAAGGCCCTTTACATGGGGCGACACTTAGGGAAACTACCAGACAAGATACGACTTTCACCACATGGGAACAGTAGCTAATGGCCTTTCACAAAGTATTGACATGATTGGAGGTAGGCCCAGTTATAGAACGTATATGCTATTGTTTGCTTCACTTTGAGTCACTGGTGACATGTAAAATGCATCCTAAGCCTACCCCTGTTGATCAACCCCCAAATTCTCCCATGGTCATGTTGGGGCCTTTCACCAAAAGTATGGATCAACACACATGTTTTACGTGCACCACACACATGCACCAAAAAAAAACAATTTCCTCCTGGAGGCACAGGAAATTCCGGGGGCCTTCTCCCCCCAGATGCCACCGGCCGCCCAGCCGGGACCCTGAGCTCTCGGCCGCCGCCGCCGCGGCGGCGGCCTCCCCCGGGTCCTGGGAGGACCGAGCTCGAGCGGTCGTTGGTGGTGGAGGCCCAGCGCCCCAAGCCCAAGACGAGGGGACTTTGTGATCAGCTCGGGAAGGAAACTCACCCAAGACACAGGAGTATGGTCCACACAGGTTAGGAAGCTTTAGGGGTTTATACATTTGGAATTGTTTTTTTCGTGGTTTGCTAAGACCGCCACCCCCCAAGAAACAAATCTCGCTCGCAGGCATCGTCCTCCGTTGGTATTTTGCCCATGCCGGGCCCCTCCCCCGCTGAGCGAGCCAAGCGTCACAAAACAGGCTGCACTTCAAGTCCGGCGACGGGGTCAGCCAAGCTCCCTGAAACCACAGAAACCACCAGCCATGACGCTGTCTCCCACTAACATGGCGGGTCCCTCCAAAACAAAGTGATCTTCCAGATGCCCTCGCACAGGTGCCGGGACGGAGGGTAAAGAGGGGTCAGCCGAGAAAGCGGGTCTGGCAATGGGCAAGCCCAAGCTCGGATAGTCCAAGTGACATCCTCAAAGACTACCCTCGCCTGGTTGTCTGAAGGAAAACAAGCCCCAAATGAAACTTGGAGCACCTTCAAAAATGCACATGTCTATCTAGTGTTTTGTTGATCCCTTGCTAAAATTTAAAAACTCTAAAGACTCAGATCACTCGTTTTTCGAGGCTCTGCTGCATGGCCCGCGCGGAACTTTGGCGCGGGCCGCATGGCAAAGCGGCGGCGATATTTGCACTGCCGCGGTTGCCCGGGCTGGGACTTTCTTCCGCACTCAAAACAAAGACAAAAAGCCTCTTGGCACGGTTTCCTTTTTTTGTTGCGTGGGTTGCGTTTATGACTCCTGTCATGTGTGCCGTGTGCCAGAACCATGCTTCATGCGAGAGACGGAACTCAAGGGCGGTGAGTGCCCTCCTACGTTCCTATTCCAATGAGCCGTTTGTGGATCCTTCCAATGTGCAGACATTTGATTTGTCCACCATTAGGCCCACATAGCTGCAGCTAGGTTTCCCAAAACAAACCACCAAAACGCATAGGCTTGTGAGTTCTGTTCTGGTTGAGGGCACTGCTATTTGGTACAGGTGGTGTCCTTTCACAACTAACTGGTTTCAAGCGCACAAAACGTGTCGGTTGCCTCGTGTAGGCATGGTAAACTACCCAAACCGGGCCCCCCAGTAGCGCCGTAGTGCCTTTTTTACCCTACTAAAATCGACAAATCCGAAAACAGAAGGGGAAGTTCAGCCTGGGTCCCAGCCGTGAAAGCCGCCATGCTTGTGAATCGAAAAGGCATGCGAAAGGAAGGGATGTGCCCATGTGCCCCTCGTGGCGTTACGATCTCCCTCCCTCTGGAAGAAAGTTCCAACCATACGGCTGAGACGAGAAAAAAGTCATCCGCCGCGGGGCTCCGGAGATGGATCTGGCCGACATGCTCACCTTTCCTTTGAACAGAAAATACTGGGAGTCTTCGGGTAGCGAAGTCTTCGGTAATGAAAACATTTTGCTCATTTGTTCATTTGTTCGGGTAGCGATTGCTTACTGGGAGTCTTCAGAAATTCCTGGTCCCTATCAAAATATGCTTGCCCAAACATAGGTTCATGTCTAATCCAGAAACCACCACGCGCAAATTTGCCAACTGACAGTGTAAACAAGGGCGCGAGAGCCCCCTCATCATCGTTGCTTCAAACCCTGTTGGTATCATCTTGAAACATTAATTCCTCAAATATTGTCTAACATCGAATATTCATCATTGAAAGATAGTTTGAAATCAAGACAAAGCGATAAACATGTTGATAGTGAATTGCAGGATGGACCCAGCCCCATGTCCAGTCGAGCTAGTTCGGACCGGTTTGGTGGTGGCCTTGCCCTTGCCCTTGCAATTGGCATGCGCATTTCATTGAAGGAAAACCCTCAGGAATCGAGCGATCGAATTCCACTTTTGGGGGTTCCGGTTAAGAGGGAAATGGCTTGAGAAGCCTTTGCCAAGAAAAAGGGCCAAGGGAACCCACGATTAAACCTCGAAAAGTTCCCATAAAGGATCCATTTCAGGCCAATCCTGAGATCCGAATCGAGAGTCGCTAAGCGGGCGGCCGTTGCAACGGCGTTCGGCTAAACCAAAAAGAGTCGAGCGCAAAAACACGCGGCTCACGTTAACCGGAGCAGATGTGCAACTCACCAAAAGTCACCTGTGCTTCTCTGAAGTTCAACCTCCTTGAATCTTGCTGCGAGCCACCAGTAAACGTCACATCATCCTTTTCTGCGCTGTTTTGCGAGCAAAAGTACCGGCCTGGGTCTCATGGGTCCAGTGCGTCTGTCATGTCTTCCAGAAAGACCGAAGACATCCTCGGGATCGGCATGGCGAGATGACTTGTGTCGGTTCTGGCCAGCCTGGCGTCATCTCCGCCAAACTGACAAAGGAGTACCCACTATCACATGTCCTTTCACCTACGCGCGTCCCGCCCAACCCTTGTATGTCCATTGCTAACTCCCCCGCTTTTCCGGGGGGAGATCCCCAAACATTCTCACAGACGCGGCTTGGATCACCCCCGAGTGCTCCGCCACACCCGGCCTCGCCCCGAGACCCGAAAAAACGCCCCGCAACGCCTCGCCCAACCTGAGCTTCCGGCGAGCGGTCCGGCATCGAGCCGCCGCTGGCGCGGATCAGGTTCCGGGGGAAGAGCCAGAGGAACCTCGGACCAGGCGAAACGAAACGGGAAAGCTCGCTCCGCGCATCCGGATGTCAGCTGAAAGCCGAGGGCGGTGGAGAGCACTCTCTTTTTCAGGATCTGGGCTAAACAAGGCAAAATCCGGGAAGATCGGGGGCTCGTTTTTTTCTTCTTTTTTTTAATATAAATATATATGTTCTTCTCTTTCTTTAACCTGGCTTGTGGGCCAGCAGGTTGGGGGCGGGTTAATAATTACCTGGCTTGTGGGCCAGCGGGTTGGCTTGGGGGGAAATACTGCTAAACCCACTGGTTGCTGGTGCAGGGCTTTGTCAATGCACAGTTCTAAAAGGAGCCTAATCACTTTGCCGCTTTCAAAAAGAAAGCACAAAACAAAACAGTGGCTTGGCCAGTCAAGAGCCCCGTTTGCTTTCTGGAACTACCAGAGCACCGGCTTGGCAACGCTCAAAGAGGGACCGTCGCTTCCTTGTCGCCTTCTGACAAGAACGGAGGTCATGTGATTTGTGAATCGGCGCTTTGGCCCTTCCTTCCAAAAAAAAGCTACGGGCTCCATGATTGGGTCACCATGGGTTGGTCACATAGACTTAAACATACCAAGCCCGGCCCAAGTGCTTCAGGGGAGCTGGGGTTCACTCTAAGAATGGGGACCTCTCAAGCTAGGTGGTGTCCTTTTCGTTTCGCTTTATAGGGGTCCCCTATTTTGAGGAGCAAAGGGGAACCTGAAACCGAGAAGGCTCGGCCACATGTCAGGAACTCTTCTTAGCACCACATCGGATCCCTTTTCGGCGCCCGAAAGCGCGGTAGATGTGCTGGTTCTCTAGTGGGCATGGACAACACTCGTGAGTCCCCTGCTTGAAATTCCGTGAGAGGCCTACGCTTTGGCTCCCGTCTGTCTAGAGAAAATGGGAAGCCACACCTCCCCAAGAAAGCAGAAGGAGAACATGTAGGGAGCCCACTTCCACACAACCCTGCAAAGTCTCCGGAACACCCAAAGCAAACACATCAGATTGCAACGCAGCCCCCGGCTTGTGCAATCAAAAAAGGGCTCCCCATGAAGTATGGCGCAAATATGGGTGTGGGTCAAAGATAGGTACCCAAAACGGGGCCCTTTTAAATAGAAACATGGACTAAAACCTGCGGTCCAATTCCTGGTGGATTGATTCTGACCCATACCCACCTGGCCCCAAAAGCCACAGCCACCCTGCGATGCGATGGGCCCCCGGCAGGTATCGCAGCGGCCGGCAGCACAGGCACCTCGGTGCGGCAAGGGCGGGCAAGAGAAGCTGGAAGGGCTGAGAATGCACTCACCTGATCTTCCATTTGCTTTTGCGCCCCCTGTCCAAAAGCAAACAGGGGATTAATAATAATAATACTAATAATAATAAACAGTATTATTAAGCAAATGGAAGTGATTCGCGAGCCAAGCCTTTCGGCTTGCTCACCCCCCCCTCTTCAGCTAGACTTCTCTGGTTCTCAAAAGATTCTGCAGGAGGAACATGATGTGGCCATTCTTTTGAGACCCAGCTTCGACTGAGGCTTGGAACGCAAAGCAAGACCACCCCCCCGTCCCCGAGTGAGCTTCGAGTTGCAGATTCCCGGGCTCTTTGAGGGGCAGTCATCCTCGGTCCAGCGGAACCTCGGAATCTTTTGGCATTGCCAATCAAGTTTTGCTGGGATCGCGGACTCAACTTAAATGGCTTGCCTTTTACGTCACAGTCGGAGCCCACTGGACTGTTGGAAAACGGAAGGTGAGCGCTCGAGTTCTCCCCATTCTTCTCGGCCATTTCAAACAAAAAGCCATGAGGCTTTTTGCAGATGTAAGACTACGCGGCTCCCGTCAAGGAGCTGCGTGCAAAAAAGAGGTTTTGTTGTCTGTGGGAACTTTACTGAGTGCTCCCAGATCTCCCACGAACAATTGATATTTTGACCGAACCGGTGGGCTTTCCCATTGGCAGTCTGCCTGCCGAAATGGCCAATACAAGTTTTGAGCCAGCTCAAGTAAATGAAACCAGGTGCATGCGTTGGAGTCCCGACTTTCCACTGACAAATCCCACCTACATGTGCAATTATTCCTCTTATTATTATTATTATTCTTCTGCTTCTTCTTCTTATTCTTCTTCTGCGTCTTCTTCTGCTTCTTCTTCTTATTCTTCTTATTCTGCTGCTTCTTTGTCTTCCTCTTTTTTGAAAGTCTTCGTATTCTTCTTTTCTGAGGGTGCAGGAGCGCTTCCGCAAAGGGAACCCAGTGGTTTGGGTGGGGCTGATCTTCTCGGCGACCGTCCGGCTCGGCCAGGGCGCGCGTAGATGACCTTGATCCACACCAAGAGGCAGGCAGGCACCTGGAGCATTTCCGGCGATGGGTATCGGTCAAAATTCAACCAGGAATTGGACCACAATAGTAGGTACCCCAAATGTGTGGCTCAAAATTAAACAACTGGGGTTACGCAGGTTTTAGTCTTTGGTCCCATTTACCAAGGCAAGCCATTTTGGTACATTTGTTCGAGCCACGCCCAAAATGAAAAACCGCCAGGAATTGGACCGCAGGTTTTGGTCCATGTTGCCACTTATCTGGGCAAGCCAATTTGGGGTTACCTTTT